TGTGTGTGTGTGCGTTTTTCTGTGTTTGTATACAGGTAGAGGCCTTGCGACGAGCTGATCACCCGCCCAAGGAGTCCTACCGAATGTGTAAGATGTAGAAAAATCGAAGTGAACGGAGAAGTTCATGGAGGTAAGCCTAGGCCCACTGGGGCTGTAGTGCCAAGGAAAAAAAAATTATGTGATCAGTTAGTTATGTACTTGGGCCTTCAGTTAGTGAGTCAGCGAGTTAGTCATTCAGTAAGGTGAACAATGATCCAGAACGCACCTCTTCTACCGCCCGGAATACCCGGAGAAGGTTGAGACCCGCGAGTTTCTTCAGGTCTTCTTCCCTCCAAGATGGGTCCTCCAACAAAGCTGCCAGCAGCTGTGGGTACTTGGAGACATCTTCAAGCCCCTGCGGTGTGCTGCAACAAGCCAAACATAACTCTCATTGATAAGCCAAGCAGGTATCTAGAAATAGACCTCGGACGGGTTTCTGCTGAACAACCCTTAGGTAAATCTTGCGTTTAACTAAGGGAAATTTTGTTCTTCAAACACAGACAAATAACAATTTATAGGGATCAGGGGCACAGAATAAATGCTTGCTGTCTTCCTTTTTCGTGTGACCAGTTCACACGGCGGCAATCGTGATGATATACGGTAGTGCTACCATCAAATAGTGACCCAAGTTGTTACGTCATCATTAGAAATATCATACATTATATTTCCTGTATGGACTCGGGTAATGCTTGCTACCATTCAGTCCAGAACCTTTTGTCTTCTCGACAATATTAAAATGGATCTTAGAGAGATAGGATGAGATGGTATGGATTGGACTGATCTGGCTCAGGTTAGGGACCATTGGAGGGCTCTTGTGAACACGGTAAAGAACTTCTGGGTTCCATAAAATGCTGGGAAATTCTTGAGTAGCTGCACAATTGGCGGCTACTCCAGAAGGGCTCAGCTGCATGAGTGGGTGATATTTCCTATATATTGCGGGAAACAAAATAGCATGTCAGAGTTTTCGTTGAAATCAAAGACCTCTTCTTCCTCAGGATTGCCTGCTTAAAATACGACGTGTCTTCAACCATGTATCAGACCCGTGACATTGTCCTATGAAACTGATTTTTGTGACTGGGGGTGTGTATTGCATTCCTGAGCTTCGGCAGTGCCTTAAAATAGACCACCACCACTTCCTTCCACATCCTTTCTGCCGACGAGGTAAGTGTGTCTGTAAGCCTTCTGGCTTTTATACGGGAGGCGCTTGTTCGAACTGAAACCGGGACATAGGCTGTCGTAAGTGTAAGGTTTCCTAGTTTTCTTCAGTGACTCCAGGTAAATGTCATCTTAGAGTCTCGATTAGGGCATGATCGAGTAATTCCAAGCACTTCCCTTTCGTTGCTTACCAATCATCTTCATATCGGTCGCTCTATGTCCGGTTCTACTGACGAGATCGTAAAATAACACGCGAAGATCCCATACAACGTAATCACTGTTACTCATCTTCCCATTTTTCATCGATACACAGTCCACTGATTTCAAGATGGTTGCTGCCTGATCCAAGAATCAGTAATAAATGTTCAGTAGTAACGTGTTGTGTTATGGAAGAGCAACAAATCCTTCAAGTTAGGCTACCCGCCTAGTGAACGTGACGAAGAAGTTGCCTCGAATCCCAGGCGCCAGAAATCAAAGTTCAAGCAAGGGAATACACAGCACCCAATTAGACGTGCGTGCGCAACTGTTTCTACTACCGCAGACGAAATTATTAGCGGGGATACATATCTGAGAGCCTTAACGTGACTGGCAGATCTTACAATCGCCCACGAACCTCCGTTACGTGTCATAGTAACTTCCGTATTCATAATAATTCTGCGATATAACGGAAACAGAAAGACAAAAAAATAAATGAAGCGAGATTACGAACAAATCGATAGAGAACACGAAATCAAAACGTCTGTGTAACTTGAAAACTTTGTCTTCAACATAATTCTCCTTCTCTTATTTCTCTTCTTCTTCATTAATTCTTTATTTATCATCTTCTTCCGTATTCCTTTCTTTCCCTTTTCCTTCCTTCCTCTTTCTCCGTCAACAACTCGTCTTCCTCCTTTCTTCCAACGTTTTCTTCTTTCTTCATCATCATGTCTTCCTCATTCTTCATTGTATCCTATTCCTTCTGTTCTTCTTTCTTCATTTCCTTCTCATGTTCTCTACAACTTCATCTTCCCTTCTTCCTCCGTCTCATTCTTTTTCACTTTCTATTCCTCTTTCCACAATTTTATATTTTTTATTATTGATTCCCTTTTCCTTAATCACCTCTTCCTGTTGTAAACATTTCTTCCCTCATCATACTCTTTGTCCTGTCCTTTTTCCTTTCTTTCCGCTTCTTCATGTTCTTTCACATATACCTGTTACTCCTTCCGCCTTTCTTCCGTCATCTTCTATTCCTTCTTCATGACTACTTTCATTATTTTAACACTGCAGTATGTACATGTCTCCCGTGTCTTTCTGGGGAAATGGGAACAATGGTGGAGCAGAAAATGCCAGAGAGCTGAGTCAACAGCTGAAGCCCTTCAGAAGTGATCGAGTGCTTTGAAAGGAAGAAACTTGAATTGCTTCGGTAAATTTTTCATCACGTATCCACGGTAATAAAAGTGAAAAGGGTAACACGGGTGGGAAATATTATTCTTTCTTAACACATTGGGGGCTTCAACCGTAATGTCATGTTTCGGCGGCCATTTTCTTCTGTTGCGTTTGGCAAAATGGCGGTTAAAATACAGAATCAATTTTATTTCAGAGCCCACAGTGGATCATTTAATTATGTAGAATGCAGTCTTCTGCGATATGATTCCCTGCAGTCTGGTATAACTGTGCCGATGTTTCAGTGGAAACAACTGCTTCCATCTTCAGGTTTGATCAGTAAGTTCAGCAAGGAAAGCAACAGGCAGGACCTTCTAGTTGGTGTGCAGCCTCTGATTTCTGTTTCAATGAAACTATCCACCTAACAGTCCAATTTGTATAGTTGTGAAAAATATGCTTACTAGGCAATCACAAATCAATTTCGCATGTATTCATATCGGATTAAATTCAACCCCTGAGTAATATAGGAGCATGTCAAAATTGATTACAAAATCGAAGCTTAACAGATGAATGTATTTCACTTTAATGAATACTGATTGTTTCCCCGCTCCGCTTCAAACAACACCAGTGTACACTTTCACAAAGAACACAGAGAAAACGTAAATTTGTTCAGGAAACTGTTATAACAGGAATTATACTCAATTAGAGGCATTTATATACAATTTTATTTCACTGAAAATATTCCTAAATTATAAACAATTTTCTGATTAAGTAGCTTATCAAAACTTTGCAAGTTAAATAGGATTGAATGAGAAATTATAGAGTAAACATGAGTTGGAAAATATATTGTGTCCTATTGTTGGATTATATTCTGGGATTTTTGAGGGCCTTCGAAAGCAGAGAAAATCTGGATGATATTCCCCTGGTAAGGTCTGCATCGTAACATGTTTCCAGTTTTCAGATCATGCAGTAATTCTGAGCGGGAGGCAGATGAGAGAGACGCCATTATAAAGGCGGCCTGTGTTATGTAACATATTGAAGTCTTGGAAACGGAAATCAGCATTTCGGAGGAAGATACTGCCTCCATTTTCAGAGTAAAAATCAATCTAAAATATCATAACTACCGAGTAATTTGGGTCAGGACTTTTGATTCGTATTTTATTAATACAGTCGTTAAATAAATGAGAACTAAATTAATAAATAAATGACACCACAACTCATTACGCTGTGGTAAAAAGGTAAAGTAAAAAGTAAAGCTATCCCTGTCACAGGCCCTGAAGGCGCATAGGGTTGTGAGACGTCGAGGCTCTCATATTCTTTCTAGACAATTGGCTCACAGATGGCAGTATGGTTGTCAGCCTTACACACTGGCCGCCCTTTACCCCCNGCCCTTTAGCCCCAGGAAGATTCCTGGTACTCATTTCCCTTACAAGTTGAATCGACCCCAGGGTCATAGTGCGGCTGGAAGGATTAGTTCAATTGAAAAGTCCAATTACCTCATGAAGAATCGAACCCGCGAACTTCCGGCTTGTAGCACAGTACCCCCCCTTACGCTGTGGTGTACGAAATGCATTTTTGTACTCCTTGTTTTAAACGTAGTACCATTAAAAGTGTTGATATAATTTTGTGACTTATAAAAGTCAGGATACATTACGTACGTATTCTTGCGAGGGCAGGTGTTCCTGCCCATGATTTTTAATACGCTGTGGGCCTAATGAAAGAACACATCTGGCTATGTTACTATTTCACACAACTTTCTTATTAAACTTTTAATTGATTCTTAATGCATATTCATGGGCACTGGTAGGGGGCACGAAACACCCACCTATTCGCCCCCTTGATATTTAGAAAGAACCAAAATTGCAGAAAGAGGGAAATATACCAGGTAATAATAATAAAACTTAAAAGCGTTTAAAAAAAACGAGTTTTTGTCCTGTATATTTTAGATCGTTCAGTAAGAAAATCTTTAAAATACAAAATCTTGTAAGCAAGTTTCCTGGCCAATCACGCCACTTAAAAACTTTCCCTTTGGAAAGATTTCTGACAATGCAATTGTATATATTATGTAATACTGACCCTCTGTATTCATATTTGCTGATTCCGGCCTGCTTCCCTTGGTCTCTTCCTTGAATTATTATCCGAAACGTCGGGAGTTTTCCTAAGTACACGACGTTACAAAACCAGAAGACCGAAACTTCATAGCCGTCGCCGTCAGAATCTGAATTTCGGCATCTTTAATAATCCTCGTAGAAAATGTAAATGGGGGGGGGAGGGCACTATAGGCTTTGAGCTCATATCTGAAAGTTAATACACTACAAAGTACAAATAAACACTAATGGTCTATAAAACTTGTTGAAAGAGATTCAATTTAAAAGTATTACACTACATGTTTCGACAAATGTGGTCATCATCAGGTGGACGAGGAAACCGCTGTTTTCTGTATCGTTGCTTGGGCTGTTAGTCCCCCCAGTGCGCATGTGTGTATTCCCTACTGTTGCGTTTTGTACTGCGCGTCTTGTTTTCAACCTTAGCTAAGACACAGAAGACAGCGGTTTACTCGTCCACGATTTTTAACAACTGATGACAAACACTCACCCACTCATTGAGCTGAGGCCTTCTTTTGAAGCCGCCAATTCTGCAGCTACTCAAGAACTTCTCAGCATTTTATGGAACGCGAAAGTCCTTTACCGTGTTCACAGGAGCCCTTCACTGGGCCTTATCCCGAGCCAGATCTATCCAGTCCATACCATCCCATCCTATCTCTCTAAGATCCATTTTAATATTGTCCACCCACCTACGCCTTGGTCTTCCCAGTGGTCTCTTTTCTTCTGGCTTTCCCACCAATATCCTATATGCATTCTTTTTCTCCCCCATTCGTGCTACATGTCCTGCCCACCTCATCCTCCTTGGCTTGGTCATTCTAATTATACTTGGAGAAGATTACAAGTTATGAAGCTCCTCATTATGCAGTTTTCTCCAACTTCCTGTCATTTAATCTCTCTTCGGTCCAAATATTCTCCTTAGCACCCTGTTCTCAAACACCCTCAGTCTATTGTTCCTCCCTTAATGTCAGAGACCAAGTTTCACACTCATACAGAATCACAGACAAAATTATAATTCTGTATATTGTCACTTTTATGTTTCTGGATAGCAGACGAGAAGACAAACGGTTCTGGATTGAACTGTAGGAAACATTACACGAGTTCAATTTCCTCCTGAACCAGGTTTTGATTTGTTATAGTCGTTCCCAAATAGATGATGACCACATTGGTCGAAATATATAGTGTGAAACTTTCAAAGCGAATATCCGTTAATAATTTTTACAGAACATTTGTGTTGCACGTGAGGCTGTGGAATTAACTGATACTAAGCGAAAAGTGCAACAGAATGTTAGGATATTACAGTGGGCACAAATGAANATTATCAGTTAATTCACTTATTCAGTTCACTTATTATAATAAGTGAAAAGTGCAACAGAATGTTAGGATATTACAGTGGGCACAAATGAACCCAGGGATATTATTTTTACTTATACTCGTAATTTGGATAATTTAGAGAAAAGACTGGGAAATTTGTAAAGACGGTGAGGAATATCTTGGTACTTGGAATTCTCTCAGTTCATTCAGGAAATGTGCGCTATACGGCGCACACTCATATAGCTGGTTCTGTAAAGTGATTTATGAAGGCTGTAAGTAAGGAGATGAGGCAAACTGCAAAGGACAGAGAACAGTCATCTCTTGTGAAATAAGGTCAAGGCTCTGACATGACATGAGAGCCAAGGCAACAAGTAATAATATTCCTGCAAAATATTTAATTCAGATCAATATCATAAATTTAGTGTTGCTACTTACAAGTTAATTCCATCATATCCTGCCCCAATCCCTACGTGGTTTACACCTGCAACGTCTCTTATGTGGTTGATGTGAGCTGAAAAACAAGAACATAACCTCACAAATCACAATTTGTCAATGCAAGTTACTGTACAATTCTTTAAAAAATACTGTGGCATGTAGACCCGTTGTTGGGCAAAGATCAGGAGATAAATATAAAACAGCAGTTTCTGGGTAATGGATTCGCAAGCAAACATGTTCCCACGGCAACAATTGAACTACAACAATGAGGAACGGTGTTTTCTATTGAGTACGTGCCGAGGTATAAGCAGGACAAGTTGTGAGCTGCAGTAAGTTGAACTGAATGAAATGAATCGTAGTTGGCTGGTGAGCGAGTGAGTCAGTCAGTCAGTCGAGAGTTTCTGAGGCCGAGGACACTTCGAAGGCGCAAAATAAGGGGAACGTCCACAGTTGGAAGCCGCTACAGAGCAACGGATAGAAAAGACTAAAAAGAGTTTAGTGCGCTGTAGATACAGTGATCTAACGAGTGATTTAGTGAGAATGTCGTACTTATTTGTACTTATGTTCTGTAAGTTTTCAACCTGATCATCAATGAAACCCCGTCTGTAGTTACTCTAAAGTTAATTCATAACATAAATTGTTATCGATATTGTCTATTATCTGAAAAACATGTAATAAATATTGTTTCGACATTTAGCTCTAGTCTCCTCTTCAGGTCGCCATGATATTGGAAGTTTTTATGTTATACGCGTATTCTGACAATGGAAGGAATGGATTCATAAGCATAAGTGAATAGAAACTACCGAATCCTGGGAAAAATACTCCGTGACTTTTAGTTTGCAAGCGAACTATCCCGACCGAGCGACCGCCGTTTATCGGAGAAGTTAGTGCAAACATTAGCGGATAGAGGTGTCGCGTGGTCAGCGCAACGGATTTCCACGGCCGTTTATCTCGGTTTTCTAGACCGGAGCCGCTATTTCCTTGAAATAGCTCCTAAGTAATCCTCATGAGGCTGAGTGGACCCCATTCCCGACCCACTACTTCTCAGAAAATCTAGTACCGCCGGCAATCGAACCCGGAACCTCTGTATATGTAGCCAGGAACTCTGACTAATAGACCACAGAGGCGGTCGAACCTTGAAATGGTGTACGTAATATATGCTCATATAACGAACAATGGTCAAAGTAATGAAACAGAACATAATCTTATGAGAGCTGAGGTCCCCATAACAGTTACCACGAAGTTTACTCCCTCCCAGGATGACTCCGTGCGATGCGATAGGAAGGTATACCAACGTTTGGAGGGAATTTTTTGCCTGCATTTCAGTGTGGATGATGGAAGCGACAAATTTCGCTGTAACGCTGGTAACTCTGTAGCAGACTACACAGCGTCACATGTCAGAAGGTTGTAATTTAATATAATCTTATAAACGAGCTATGGGCATAAAAAGAGAGTTACATTTCTGTACAAGCAAAATTGGTTTAACATCTGAACTGAAAAGTAATATCACACGATAACTGCATTTCCTTAATGAAGGGCGGAAGAACATGAAAATGCCAATTAACACGTGATTTCTGATGTAGTACTAAATAATTTGGATGACAGTAAGTATCAAACTGCATGCAGTTATATTTATTACATAATTACACTGTGTAATGTGTGAATATCTTGACAGTCACAGTTGCCGCGCGGTCTAAGGCATGAACTGACCCCTCTCGCTCGGTTCCCAGTCAGGGCATGGATGTTTGGTGTGTGTGTTTGCGTTTATTCTGTGTTAGTGTTGTCCTGTGTTTAAGTAGCAGCCTTGCGTCGGGCTGATCTCTCGTCCAAGGAGTCCTACCGTCAGTGAAAAATGATTACGGAACTGGTTAAGGGGCCTGCGGCTTGAATGGACTGGAGGAGCCATTGTAGAAAGAATGTATGAACACCGTAAAAAGCCGTCCTCCTTTAAATTAATGTTCCTTACGCGGCACAAAACCCCTAGAGTGCTAAACACGCAGACTATTTGTAACATGAACGGAAATATAAATATTCAATTCAGAAAGATCCACACTTGAATCAATTATTATCATTTATTTAAACTGCAAATTGATTTTTACCCGGTGGCAGTTGTACTACAATAAGACACAACACACAAATAACATACATCACACAAAATAACACACCATGCTCAAACAAAACACAACACACAAAACTACAAAAACAAGAAAGGACACACTACACACAATGAATACAACGCAATTACAATTAACACTTTATGAAAGGTTATCAAATCCGACCAATGTGACTGATAAACGTTTTTTTTCCTCCTTTTTAATCTATCATCCTTGACATGTTTCAGTCTGAGAGACCATCTTCAGAAGGATATATCAATACAGGCGGAAACTACTATTGCAATGTGTTTGGTCAATATCAATACATATATACAATAATATTACAATGTCATGAATATAAAATATGATCCTTTAACAACTACAACGATGTGCATGAATATATTAAAATATTTATAAATTATTATAATTAGTTTGTTTACAAGTGTGGTTTAAAAAAGACTTTGTTAAAATTTAAAACCAATTTATCAGTCACACTGGACGGAGTTAATAACCTTTTATAATATTGCTAGTGTGACGGACCAGGTTAAACAAAATCACAATTACAAATATAAGATTTAAAAGAAAATAAAGAGAAAATTTAATTCTAATTTACGAATGTGTATTGTTCTTGAATGTGTAAGCACTGAGCGAGTAGATACAAATATTGCAGCCCTACGGGCGGAATTTTAAACTGCGTTCTTAGCATTACTGCATGCATACTAACATTTGGTTTCAACATACCTATGACGTCATTTATGGTCGCTGTGGAGTTGCAGGTGATAAAGTACGTGTAGAAATTAACCATGACAATTCCCCCATTTAAGGCCTGATGAATAAATAACATAAGACAATTCATTAGTGACAATATTTAACCTTTACTTTGTATGCATATAAATTTACGAGCTCATAAAGCGAAGCTGAATACGTACGGACATAAATTACATCGGTCACTAATGCCTGTTCTGTCAGTGCAAGTGTACTTGTGCGTTTACCCACATTTTAATCCATTTCAGGCCATGCACCGACTATATCGGCTATGGGTACTTCCGTTAAAACTGTCACAGCAGAAGATATCGGCCACTTACTACGAAGTAGTACAGCATATATATCAACAGAGGGCATCAAGTGTGACGTACATATGTTTAGTGGAAAAAAACAGACTTTGAAACATCGTATACCTGTTGACGTTTTTTGATTTGTGGGCTTCTCTGTGGAATTTTTTCAATTTCAAGCGGTATTGAAATTTATAATGTGTACGTCTATAATTGGCAGTCAGAGGGTTAAAAAGTTTTCTGTTCCGTTTAATATCTGTAATTAACTCTGTTTCCTTGTTAGGTGGGTCCGTTGTCACCACGGCATGGTGCATCCTCAGGTTGCGGATGGAGGAGACGACCTCCACTATGGAGTATAATTATGATAATATTAAATAAAAGGTAACGAGTAGTCGACAAGTATTGGTTCTCCAGTTTGAAGGTTGTGCGGTGGGCTAACATCTCTTCGTGGCAAAAATTCAAAATGTTATGAAATTTACGCAGAATCCCGAATTTTAATTAATGCTTTGGGATGACACATGAAAAGGGAAATGGATATAGGGTTTTAAGATTAAAATAAAGAGAATAGAATGTGGTCTCTCACATTAACTTAGGAACATGAGCTGAGGGTGTTTGGGAACAGGGGTTGCTGAGAACAATATGTGGACCCCAAAGAGAGGAACTAACTGGAGGTTAGCGATAACTGCATAATAATTAACCTCATAATTTGTAATCTTCTCCAGATATTGTTACGGTGATCAAATCAATGATAGATTGGCAAGACATATAGCGCTCATGAGAGAAACGTAGTGTATATACATTTTTTGCAAGGAAACCGGAAGGATGCAGATTACTGGAAGGGGCCAGGTAATATTAAACTGAGCGTTAAAGAATTAGGATAGGCTGTGGGCTGGTTTCATCTGGCTCAGTATAAGAACTTATCTCTGATTCTTACGAACACGCGAATGAAATTTCGAGTTATATAAAATGTTAGAAATAATTTTAAGAGCTGACGAACTATTTGGTTCTCAAGAATTTTCCAATTATATTTTCTTTCTATAGGCTGGTCTACTGCTTTCTCAACAACAGCAAAGCCCAACCATTTACGAGTCACCGCGCATTTCAATATTAAGTTCGTCTCATCTGCAAACGTCAGTGATATGCTTTTCATAGTCAGCTTATAGCAGTTCCTATCCACTGCGATGTCCTGGACTTCAATTCGCTTCCGCTAGGGAAGCCGACAGCCACGAGAAATTTAGCCATGAATAAGAGGCAGAAATTACAGAACTGCAGAGGCATTATCCGCTGGATTTGGGGTACTCATAACGACGACTTTGTTGTGGGATATAACAGCGTGTGTTCTGGTACAATTTAATCGACACTTCGGAACGTACTGCATTCATATTCGGTGCCGAATGTACGCTACGACTGAATTCGTTTGTATAGCAGCAACGCTCTACACTTGGGGACGTTCGGTTCGATTCATGCCAGAGATATCGAATTTGCTGTAGAGAATAACATATCGCGGTGTATAGACACGTTGCTAAGCGATGACTCTGTAAGCAGTGACCGTTTCTGGACAACCGCTCGGTGAACACGTCCCCGTTGCTAGGCAGCAGATTATTAATAATTCAACAGTTTGACAACAGTGTTGAAAACAGGGTGTTCTCTGTGTGGTCCGTGCCGAGATGTTATCAGCAAGAGACAAATTTAGCAGTAAGTTCAGTTTAGTTGATAATCAGTTCCGTGCGGGAGTCTGTCAAGTAAGGATCTGAGTTTATAAGGCTGAAGAATCTACACTAATAGAAGCCGTTGCCAGGGAACGGCTGGTGAAGATACAGCAGGCTGGAAAAGGCTTAACGGATGCTGCGGTGATTTGTGAAATGTGGAGATTACCGGTGGCGCTGTAATTGCTTGTAGTTCCAAGTCGTGTGTATAAGTGGTCAATAAATCCGTTCACTAAGCCAAACCCCGTCTATAGTCACACACATACACGTGACAATATTTTTCCTCAGCTTCTCCAGCCACATGCTGGTATAATACTTCGAATAGGGTATAAGTGATATTTCTCAAACATTTCTCAGTTCTTTGTTCATTAGTTTTCCTACTGTTTGACGCTGTATAATCTGGAAAGTTGCAAAGAAATCACAAAGAAAGATATGTTACGCAAGAAAACGTAACTTAGTAGTTTATTCTTGCTTGTTGCTTTCTCGTCTTACTCTTCTCCCTTGAAGACTGAGGCACTGTTCTTCCCCGAAACATTTCCGAAATTATAGCAACCCACAAGGGATTACATACGAGAAGACATCACATCGGCTTTCAATCTTACTGTATCTGAAGAAATTTCTGTCTTTGCTAGAAAGCTCTTAAAATGCCTTTCTTTTCTACCCAAATGTCTCTTTATACCAGTCCATTTATTTAAATGTTCACTCTAATGGACATTTGTGATATCACTTAATTAGTTTCCCTTTTGTTTCCGCTCCAAATAGTATTGTATTCTCTTCTCTCATTGGCTCAGCTCTCCGAGTATTGTAACACCGTATCTTCTTTCGCTGCACATTTGATGGAACGCCATGTCCTATAATTAGGGCCATTTCGTGTGAAGAATCCGACATTAACAAGAAATGTAATTTAAAAAAGCATTCCGAATGGGAAGAATAGTCATATTTTATTTTTAAAAAATTCTGAAACAAAAAAATGTAAAACTGCTGCTTCAGCCAGAGAATGGAATATTTTCAAAGACGTGATTCGTAATGTACAGGATAATTCTAAATTATTGTCGGGGTTTCCGTGGCCTATAATTTACAAAAATTACGTGGCAGGAAAGGCGCGCATGTTGAAGTTGTTTAGCATTCTTCAGTAATTAATAAAACCATATGAGTTTTGATTTCATATTCCATAGGCAGTTTTATTTTGTTATTTCTAGTTTGAAAATTATAGACCACGAAAACCCCGACAATAATTTAGAAACATTCTGTATATTAAAATTTGCTTTGATAATTTAAACAATTTATTAATATTTAATAGAAATAAAGACATGTAAAATTATTCCACATATTATAGGGTTAATGATTGGATTTAATTTCAATTTAACAGGCAAAGAAATGGAGGAAAACAGCCGCAAAAGGAAACAATGTTCCCCAACGAGTTATGCTGGCCCGCATATTCCAATTATGACGCATCAATTACATAAATCCTATCACAAACCGGAAAACTAACCACGTGATATGAGCGTGTAACAGCACTGACTGCGGTCTCCTGGGGCGCGACGTTATGTGGAGCTGTACACATATATCAAGCTTTCGGTAGAACCAGCTGTCTCCTTCTTCACGGCAGAAGGTTGGTATCTACCTACCAAACTACACGAAGTCCCCTATTGCACTTCAAACGTTATGATATTATTGGATTTTTTTTTATTTACAGGCTAGTGACGAAATAATTTGTACCGACCGCTCATATAGCCTGCCTTTTCCTCGTCTTGTGGAGTTTAATTGTGTGTCATGGGAAACTCAGATGAGTTCCGAAGATGCTACATTGCGCTTAGGGCTATTTTTATTAATAATTTTTTATTCTCTCGAAAATCCGGTATTACGAAACAGAACATGTTTCCGAAACTGGTCTGTTTCCGTCCTCAGCAGGGGTGTGGTCCTAAAAATAATAATTACATGGTACTCAAGAAAGGGGTTCCATGTTGAAAGAAGTAAAAGTAAAACTTCTTCCCGTTAGACACTCCACGAAGACGTATGGGGGATGACACTTGACACTAGATGCAGGTGAATCATCAGCTTCACGCCACCGGCCGCTTTATTCCATGGGAAAGGGCCCCAGAGCTGGTCTGGACGCTGTAGAATACAGAAAATTCTCTTGCCTCTTCCGGGAATTGAACAACGGCCGTTCGGCCCCTATCCCGTCACTATACCGTCTGAGCTATCCAGACGCCTCCGTGTTAATCGAAATAAATATATATCAAGATAGGAAATCTTCACGTTACCCAATTACAGCTCTGTTATTAACTAAGTTCTCAGGTGTTTACACCGCCTGGATGTGGGAAATGTTGTCATGTTTCGGATATATAGGCCACTTCCGTCTTCAGGGATGAATTGAGTAGGGTAGGTGAGTTTCTCTATATGCATAATTTTATGTTTCGAAAGAAACATGGTGGATGACTAGGGGCTGGTGCCCCGTTTGGGTCAATAGGAGCATAGCACTACCTCCCTGAAGATGGAGGCAGCATGTACCAACGAAGTCAGCAACACTGCTGATATTCACATGGTGTCAACACACAAGAAATTAATTAATATCCGCAGGTAACAACAGTGTAATCATATAACCAGGGACTTTTGAATGTCTGAATGTAGAATTTGACATTTGGTAGAAATGCTTCCACAAATTTTGAAGCAGTTATTCCGAAACTTCCTTTTCCTAATCAATGCTGTGGCCATGTTGTGATATCTATCCAAATATCTGTTTGTGTGTGTGCCCACGGTTCACCCACAACTGTCCAAATATTTCCAACAGTGTTTATTGGAATAAATAACAGTGGTCGTGCTCCCGCTATTTGCATTCTGTTTGCAGAAATTTCCAATATGAAGTTGTTAACATACAAAAAAAAAAAAAGCATTTCCGCTTTCAAAACATATTGTTATTTTTATCACCATCACCACTGTTGTGTAAATTTTGAGGTTTTGCGTCGGTGATTGGTCATGCTGCCAATCACGGTGGCCACACGTACTATGGCATGAACTGTCTTCGCCCGTTTCAACTTTGGGGTCGTAGTTTCGAATCCCACTTGAGGCATGGATGTCTGTGTGCGTTTATTCTGTGTGCAGGTAGCGGCCTTCCGACGGGCTGATCTCCCGTCCAACGAGTCCCACAGACTGCGTATATTATGAAACTGAAAGAGGTCAGGGCCAAACAAAGGTCTGTAGAACTTTTGTTGNGGAGTTCCAAAATTCTTGATAAGAAAGAGATATTACGTACTGTTACTAATACCGGTATTTATTGTTCAAGTGACAAAGTTGGTAAGTTTACCTAGTACAATACATTTCCGAAAATTCCNTATCTATCCAAATATCTGTTTGTGTGTGTGCCCACGGTTCACCCACAACTGTCCAAATATTTCCAACAGTGTTTATTGGAATAAATAACAGTGGTCGTGCTCCCGCTATTTGCATTCTGTTTGCAGAAATTTCCAATGTGAAGTTGTTAGCATACCAAAAAAAAAAAAGAAAGCATTTCCGCTTTCAAAACATATTGTTATTTTTATCACCATCACCACTGTTGTGTAAATTTTGAGGTTTTGCGTCGGTGATTGGTCATGCTGCCAATCACGGTGGCCACACGTACTATGGCATGAACTGTCTTCGCCCGTTTCAACTTTGGGGTCGTAGTTTCGAATCCCACTTGAGGCATGGATGTCTGTGTGCGTTTATTCTGTGTGCAGGTAGCGGCCTTCCGACGGGCTGATCTCCCGTCCAACGAGTCCCACAGACTGCGTATATTATGAAACTGAAAGAGGTCAGGGCCAAACAAAGGTCTGTAGAACTTTTGTTGTATAAATGAATGACGGATGAGGCTGTGTTCTAGTTTCAGACTTCGTTGTAGGCGAAATCCGCAGATTCGGAGGTAGCCGGTATGCTCTTCATGATCGGGACTAAAGCATGTAGCATGGAGACTGGATTCTATTATACAGGGTGTCCCAGGAAGAAATATTTATATTCTGAGAGGTCATAGTATCGGTCATTCTAAGAAAAAATGTATGTGCACATGTGTCCATTCCGAACGGTTTCCGAGATACAGTTATTTAACTGTCACAGTTACAAAACTGTTGATAAGAAAGAGATATTACGTACTGTTACTAAAATCGGTATTTATTGTTCAAGTGACAAAGTTGCCAAGTTTACCTAGTACAATACATTTCCGAAAATTCCACCGTTAACTTCCATGCACTTTGCAGCTCGTGTGAGGACATGGCGTGTTCTTCTATCTCGGAAACCGTTCGGAATAGGACACATGCACATGTACACTTTTTTGCTTAGAATGACCGAAACTATGGCCTCCCAGAATACTGATCTTTCCTCCTGGGACACCCTGTATAAGGATGTTATAGAGACTCCGCGGAGAGGATACGAAAGACCTAGGTGGGTAGGCGAGCTAAGCACTTGATGCCGCTGCCGACAGATTAAACAGCGTCGGAAGATCGTATGATTGATGAATGATTGATTGGAAAGGACTGAAAGCAAGCGCTCCCATCTAATTAAGGTCCTATCCTGGATTTGCCTGAAGGAACTAAGATAACAACACCTCAGTAAATGCATCCAGTGTCAGAGCCGAGATTCGAGAAAGAACTTCCTGGATGCATGTTGAGTGTGGGGAAGACCTAGAAAAAGATGTCGGGGACATCAGTGTGTTTTGCTTTGGAGCGGGAAATAATACTATCTCAAACACTGTCGGGGGAAGAAGAAGGTGAAAGTTGTCCCTGTTCCTAATTAAGTACGACACCACAGAGGAATATGGGGGAGTATAGCTTCAGCACTAGATCGAGGTGAGTGGTCAGCTTCACGCCCCGGACGCTTTAACCCCGGTGAAACTGCAGCTGGTATCCATTGGAAAGGACGCTGGGTGGGCCCTAGAGCCGGTATGGACGACGTGGAGAAGAGATAAATCTTGTTCCAGCCGAGAATCGAACACGGGTCGTTCAGCCNTGTCGTCACATCCCAGAGGATAATGCCCCTCATATTCGCTGTTGCTGTGACAATCTGAAACCCAGGAGATGTACAAATGTTTATCACGATGAAACTTACTAATGATTTGAGGACGTCATCGGGGACGTTTCGGGAGGAGTTGCACAGAGCGAAGGCCGAGGAGTGTGAGAACATAACGGGGGCCTTGCTAGCGGCCAGAGCGTCCTTCATGGTGTGGACTGAGGCGTGTGACAGGTCCACCATCATGCCTAGCCGGTTCATCTCGCGGACCACAAGCTGAAATTAAGAGAAGATTATTGGCATGCTAGAGAAATTGGTTTATAAGACGGGGTTAACTTTCAAGTGGTTAGTTGGACAAGAGATATGTTACTTTCGGCGTTTCGGTCCCGACGTACGGTCAAGAATTTTAAACATCTCGGGTTACCTTTCAGCTGTCATCTTCAAGTTAACGCCAAAAATCGAACAATGGTTATTCAACACGAATCTGTCTTATTTCAATGATTTATTGAAATATTCACGAAACTAATAAAGTACTAAAAAAGTAAGGTAAATCTATCCCTGTAACAGGCCGTGAAGGCCCATAGGGTTGTGATACGTTGAGGGTCCCACATTATCTAGACAATCGGCTCAAAGATTTAATTAATTCCTGGTATTCCTTTCTGTTAGAGGCTGAGTCGAACCCAGGATTAGGTCAATTTAAAAAATCCAATGACCTCATCGGGACTTGAATCCGCGACCTTCCGGCTTGTAGCATAGTGCCTCAACCAACTACGCTACCGCGTGCTCCCCCTACGTAACTAATATTTATCCAAAATTTAATGCAGGCATCTCGCAAGCAACGTAATATCTCTATGGGTTTTTGTTCAGGAGGGCACGCGGTAGCGTAGTTGGTTGAGGCACTATGCTACAAGACGGAAGGTCACGGGATCGAATCCCGATGAGGTGGATTTTTTTCAATTAACCTAATCCTTCCAGCCGCACTATGGTCCTGGGGTCGACTCAGCCTCTAACAGAAATGAGTACCAGGAATATTCTTGAGAGTAAAGGGCAGACGGCACGTAAGGCTGACAACTTTACCGCCATCTGTGAGCTGATTGTCTAGAAAATGTGGGAGCCTCGACGTCTCACAACCTTTTGGGCCTTCTCAGCCTGTTATTGGGATAGATTTACCATTTTTATCTTTATGAATGAATGAATAAATAAATAAATAAGAAAATTTTCATATTTTTAGAAAGATTTTATTATTGTTTGTTTGTTATCGTAACATTTATTATAAAATTCACAGCG